GACTGCTCCAATTCCACTCGTTCCGCAGCCGCCTGGCATTGCCAGCCATTGCATCCTGTCGCCTCAGTTGTGTGGCAGTAGCCGCTTTGTAAACATTTATCGTCGTTCACCCACCGCGTCGTCCTTGTGTCGCCTCCTCCGTGTTTTGTGCTACGAGTTTTGTCGTCCTCGCCATCATCATCATCGCCGTTTACCCTGTGTCGGTCCAGAGTCCTGCATCACTTGTTTTGGCCATCCCGACGACGTCGGGTGTTGATACATTTTGGCCCGTAACTTTGACGAGCGTCAAAGAGAATTAAAGCCCCCTAAAAACAACCCCCTCGCCTCCCCCTTCTTTTCGGCCACCCCTCCAAAAGTGCTTGTGATTCCAGTGAAAGTTGTGCTTCGACAAAATTCGACAACGTCTTGTTGATGGAAAGCAAAAGTATTTCGGAAAATGCAATTAATTACCAACTCATTTTAATAATGCGGATTCGGAAAAGCTTTTTACAACATTTTTCAATTTGAAAGCATACTTCTTGCTTTGCTTGTGGCCTTCGTCCTTCCAATAATTTAATATGAAACTTATTTCACGCTTTGCATTTTTATTTGCCTTTGGGTTATTTCTTAGTTTGTTTGGCTTTTTATTTATATTAAAGCTTGAAAAGATTTTCAGCACTTGCGGCTAAGCCTGTGAAATATAGCCTATCAACTCAAGCTGGCAAAGCAATTTAGTTTTACAGTGTCTTTTCTTAAAAAACTTTTATAGTTTTTCTTGAGATAACTAAGCAATTTCGCACAGCTTTTGTGGCTGCCACAATTGAACGCAATAAAACTACACAATTTATACGGAAACAGCAAATTTAAATAGTTTTACTATGTGCGGAATAAGAATGAATTCGATTCCCGGACAAAAACTGCACGCTATTACTTCTCCATTTGAGCTCCCACCTGTTAAACAGACATTACTCATACGCACCGTGTGCTGGACTTTAAGTTGAAAGCTGAAGTAGGACCATAAAAATGTTGATTACATTCTAAGCGTTGACCTATGGCCCCGTCCACTTCGGAGGTCCTTTATTCCTTTTAAAGTTGTCCACCCATAGACTTACTGTAAGTTTTATGTGTGAGTGTGGCAACTGCTGATTCTCCCAGCCGCTGCAGCCATTATTTCTTCCACTTCCGCAGCTTCCTTGGCCAGCATCTTAGTTTTCTGTGGGTGGTGGTACTTTTGTGTGTGTCTTGGTGTGTGTGTGTGCCCAGCTGTGCAATTGTTGACACCCACAGAACACATAGCAACGCACACGTGCAAAGTCGCTTGTTTTTCGATACAGCTGCCGGCTTGAACCGCTCCATTTGTGCAGCCAATCGCTACAGGCGGCAGTCTCTAATTTATACCCTAACCCAATGGAATGGGAATGGAATTCTAAGCCAATTTATGCCATGAAAAAATATGTGGTAGCACTAAAACGCGACACTTTCTTTGTCCAAGCAATGCAGCATAAAGTAATTTTTTTTGTGCGAAAGGGTATTAAAAATTCGTCGAGTCTGGGTAACATTTCCTTTACTTCCCCGAACCCTTTTGGTTCAAATTTCCTGCCTGTGGCTGCTTCCCGCGCATTGAGTTCATTACCCCGTTGTGGCTAAGAAGGAGTGGCAGGCTTAGTGTTGGCGGGATAATATAATATTTAAGCGACACAAATATTCACAAAAAGAAGATTTAAGCTCGGTCTGCATCTGTTGCTATACCAACTTTTGCTGGGTATTAAAGGAAAGCATCAAAATTAGCCAAACCCTTTTCAGTTTTCCCGGGGGAAACTAAGCCTGAAACCACTTATTGCCAAAGTTCGGCAAACTCCTTCATTTTATTATTGATTATTTTTAACCTTTATTTTCTACGCTTCATTTTGATACAGTACACAGTTTAAGCCTCCTCACCTTTGAACTTTGTTTTTGCGAGTGCTTTAAAACTCCTCAAGCTCTGTGGACTATTTTGCTAACTTTGATGGTAGAACTCAAAAGATGAAAAGTGTAGCAATGAATTAAAAAATTATATTTCGATTCCATGCGAACTTATTTTGTGTGTAAGTGCCTATAATAATTTTATTGGCTTACATTTTTTTTTTTTTTGTAATTATTATTTACTATTTTTGTGAACATAGTTGTATGAATTGCCAGCTTGAAATACATCCACAAAGTGGAAAATACCCAAAGCACAATTGCCGGGCAATTTTGACGCATTCTTTCTGCTTAAATCTTTACGAGCTTTCTCTATGGTAGTGTGATCTAAGCTTGTTTTGGGCCTTACAATATAGCAAATGTCGTCAAATCCATACACAGAAGTAAACATCCACAAACACAAACGCAGACACTTATGGGCAAACTCAAAAAGCCACGGGCATTGCCTTCTTAGTCTCGTCCTTTTTTTTCTCTCCACTGTTGTCCTTTTATTTATCTCGCTTGCTCATTTTTTTTTTTTTTGTATTTTTGTTTTGCATTTTCAACGAGGCCAAACCGCACACACGCACACACACACACACCCCCCATGCAAATAGCGGCGCACACATAGACATGGTGAATGAGTAGAAGACAAGGCGTGACAAGTGCAGGCTCCATCCGAACGTGCCCTCTGACCCCCCGCCCTCTTTACGCCCCCTCCGCCCTCCGCCCCCTCAAACATAACCAAAAAGAGGAAAAACTTTAACTAGATGCATATATAAATTGCGTTCTATATATTTATGCCCCGACATATATGCAAATGCATCATGACTGCGCAACAGCAGAGGCACAGCTTCTATTAAATATGCTTATTATGGCCATATGTATGTGCTTAATATTTATTGTGTTCTTGGCGCTGAGTTCGGATGATAAAAAAAAATAAAAAACTAGTTATTGATAAATTCAGCTTTTTAAAAGCAATTTGCTCGATTGCCCGATTTCAATTGAGATGAGTGAAATTAGTTTATCTCTCTGTTTGCAAACTTTTTCACACCTTTTTTTTGTTATAATTAAATTTAAATGACTTTATTTGTACTGATTTATATCCAGCAAAAACAGTTGAAAGTGCTTAACTTCTTTTATTGTTATTTGGGTTTATTTAAGGCAATACAAATTTAAATTAAATTCCACCTAAATTTTATTTTTTACTTAAACATATTTTTGAGAATTACAAGAGGACGAATATTTGCTTTTATGAGTGGGCAATAAAAAATCGAATAGCGACTGTGCTGCGAGGACAATAATATAATATATATGCTTATTTTCGTAATATCCCAGCAACGCTTTATCCCTCTGTGTTAAAGACATCCTCTTTTATTCTCATCTGGTGTTTTTGATGTTTTCTCCCCGAGGCTTTGTCCCATCTTAACTCACACAGAGCTGAGCCCACAACATTCTCTTTTAGTTTTACTGTCTCCATTCGTTTTCCTTTCCATAAATAAAATAAATGTAGGTGAAAATATACATAAATAATGGGCACAAGCGCGGCTTTTTTATGAAGTGTTTGAATGTGCGAGTGTCAACCCAGGGCACTTGAAATGGCAAAGGGAAAGGGAAATGGGGAGCTGGGAAGCTGGAGGGGGCGGGGATGTGGGCGACGTCTGTGAAAATTATAAAACAGACGACGCAGCCATTCTGGCGGGGCGAAGATATGGCCTCTGAAGGTTGAGGTTCGCCCCCTGCCATGTAGGCGTGTGTAAATAGCAAAAACCTAGTCGGGCGTATACCAACCAGCCAAGTCATCATGGAATCTATACGAACTGGAATAGGGCTAAAAAGGAGAGAGAGAGAGAGAGAGAGGAACGGCGAGAAGAAAGAAGATAGAAAGATAACAGGATGGAAGGCATGACAAATACGTTTTCTTTTCCTATTTTTTTATTTTTTTTATAGATATATATTATATGGCCCGAGGTAGTGTGACGTATAAAGTTTGACCTCCAATCAATAAATCACATTAAAAGGGGATTTCCGAAAAATGGCAAACGGAAAGGATGACCAACCAACAGCTGACCCATAATTGTTCATTGTCACATCATTGTCCTTAAGACAAGGAGTCATAATTCCAACCTGGCAAATAATATATATATACTCTGGCCCCGAAATGAACACTTCCCCTTTAAATGGGTGGAAAAATAACCTTTTCGGCTGCGAGTTTTCTATCCGTTTTCCTCTCCGTTTTCTTCTGGGCCAGTCAGGTCTCATCATCCGCTCGACTTTGTTTTGCTTGCGCTTTTTCCAGCTCCTGGCTTGATTTTCTTCTTTTTTGTCGCTTTAGCCAGAGTCCTTTTTCTCCGCGCTCGCCTTTTACTAACCCAGACAGCTCCCACATAGATGTATACATATATGTACATATATGTTTTAACAGCTGCCAAAAGGCTGCGCTTGGCTTCTTTGCGTCTTTGCTCAGCCAGTGTTTTGTTTTTGGCTTCGTCAGCCAACTTTAGCTATTGACAGACCTTGCCACCTCCCGTTCATGTCCTTGCTAAAAACATTTCGCTTTCAACATTCGTTTCAGGGGTGTAAAGGGGAAAGGGGGAGATGGCAAGGAATGCGGAGTAAAAAATTTCAAGATATTTTCTGTGGCCTACACTGCGTGCCCAAAAGCCATAATTATCACGCGTTCACATGGCGTATACGGGATTTTGTTGTTGTTTTTTCCTTTTAAACTCTTAACCGAAATTTATGCTTTTGCTGCTGCTAATTGTACATTTTGTTGTACTTGCTGTTTATAATGTAAAATTTATTGTGTTTGTGCATGTTTATTATCGCCTCGCCGTTACGCGTCCCCACATACATGGCTTCGTGCCACACCCCTTTGCCCCCTTTGCTAACGCCTAACCCTCACTCTTAACCTCTTTAAACATCCCTGTGCATTTATGTTTTACAGCGTCTGCAAAAAATATTATCAAAAGTAATAAATGAATAACAAAATACAAAACAAACGCCATCAATAATTCATGGAAAAAAAATCCAACACAAACAGAAATAACCAAAAATAAAAGCTTGCGGCGCGTCGTTCTTTAAATAATTTATAAATTAATTCTGCAAACAGCATAAGCGAAATTAAAAAATACAACAAAAACATCAGGAATTAATGTAGTGCCTAATGCAATGTGTAATAAAACCGAGTAGACAAGGAGGTGAAGCAGATCATTATATGCCCGCAAACGCAAACGCAGTTACACAGAAAAGTTTGAAATACAAATTTATATTTATTATTGAATAAATAAGCAGAGTAAATATCACATATGCTACCCGTGGCAACAAATTGAATTATTCAGCAAATTAAACAGCAAATACTTGGCGTCGTGTTGTGAATGTTTGGCCATTAAAGTGCACACAACTTAATAAAGGGTTAAGTGGTGAGTAAAATAATGGATATTTTAGTTGAATGATTTTATTAGATATAAGAAATATTGATAATGATATTATATTATACCAACTGTTTTAAGGATTATTGCAACATAACTTTCTTGATATCTGATCAACTGTTAATGAATATGTTAACTGAGAGCTGATTTAAACAAAAACTAGTAATTAAAATACCAATTCTACTTTGCCATAAAACCCACACCCTTCTGAAACCGAGTTTTGCCTTATCAACAGACTTTGCTGATGCAAGGATCTGTCTACCCTCATCCATCAGCAAAAACTCAACCGCAAATGTCACATGCAAATTCTGTTCGCCTTGTAACGGAAGTGCAAGCAAAAAATAGCGAAAGATTTTTATACATAACTTTTTATGCTACTCATTGTTGGGGTTCCAGAAGCCTGCCACAACCGGTGGAACTGAACCCAAGATGGTTCAGTTGCGTGGCGAGGTGGATGTGAATGTGTATGTGCAGTTTTTTTTGTGCATTTGCACCACTTTATTTCAATTTTATTCGCCATTTTCTTCCTTTGCGTTGGACATTTCCTGGGGACGAGACGTCGCCGTGACTTTTGCTCTGCATTTGACTCGACTCCATGCTCTGCGTTTTCCCCCGGTTTTCCTCATTACCCTCTTTACATTTCTAATTACACGCTCATTTTAAACTTGAAACATTTGCAAACGGAAGCTTGGGTCTGGAAGAGCCTGCGATTTTTCAGTAACAATTTTCCATTCCCCACACCATGAGATTGCGAAATTGTTCCTGGGCTCTGGGTCTGGTCTCTGGTCTCTGGTCTCTGGCAGGCCAGATTTTCCATTATAGACTAAACGGCTGACCACAAATGTCTGGCATCGCAAGGGGCTGAAATGGAGACAGGTCTTGCATTGGATATCACTCCGTCGACTTGGGTCCAGTGAACATTCTGTGTCCGTTGTTTTACGTGTCCCTTACTATTATCTTATTATTCTGCTCTACTTTTCTTGTCCTCGAAAAATTACATTAAACATTGACTTGGGGTTGCTAGGACCTTTCCTTTCCCTTTCGCGTTTTCTAATAGAGAGATTGAAAGTAGATTGACTTTAATTTTTTGGCAAAAGTTGTGTAAAAGACAAAAAAAAATGTATTACCCAAATAAAGGACTAAAAATGTTTAAGTTACGCAATTTCAAAAAACCTTTTCCAAATCGATTTTTGCACTTTGTGTATCTTTTTAGGGACTGGAACTTAAAAGAAATCTGAGAAATTTATGCGGAAACCAACCCAGTCTTGCGTCAGGTTCTTTTTTAATTACTAAAGGCGTCCAAGCAAGGACTATGCTAAATTTAAAACAAAGTTGCATGTCCTTTGTGCATGTAAAGCAACATTTGCTGCGCCTGTTAATGTTCAAGAGGATGAGATGGCATTTCCCATTTCTGGACTGCACTTTGTTAGACTCGTGTTTTAATTTCCATATAACGTGCATGCCAGGGATTTATCAATAGGATTTATACCAGCTGTAATTTCTCCTTTCCACCCCGAAGAAAGTTACTAATAATTACAATAATTAGTAACACTAATTTTAAAAGAAAGCGCAGGCCAGCTTTAAACGTTAAAAGGTCATGTTTGCCTTCATATGAATTTTTTTTTAATAAAAATGTTGGCTCTAAAATTTTTAGTTTATACCTTCTAGTTTTCTTAATTACTTTAAGGCACTTTTTTCTCTCGTAAATTGTTCATCCATCTTTAATTCCATATCTGTGTTATAATCCACACATTTCCAGGTCAAGCTATGCGTTTTTTTAGCCCACGGGTTCACTTTAGTTTTCTATTGTTCACATTTCTGTCAGCCAAAAAGACAAGCTGGACAACTGAAACTCAACTCAGCAGACCGAGAGAAAATTCTCCAGGCTCTTTGTGTTTGTACTGTGAGGTTTGTTTGATTTCTATGTGTAAGAAGCAGCAGATGACCTTCTGTTATCATTTGACCTTTTGGGGTAGCTTTAAAAAAAACTGCGGATAATCAAACACTTTTTGAATATTAGACTTTTTTCTTAATTTATTGTTAAGTACAACAAATAGTGCCGAAATTGTATGCATTTTCAATATCGAAGATCATATTAAATTTATTGCAGTATGTTGAAAATCGATTGCAAAAAAAGTGTTGCCAGAATTAAAATATTGCTCATACGCAGCGTGTAACCATTTATTGAAAATGTTAAACTCTTTCCAAGTTACTGCATACCGAATCCGGTCAATGTAGGATGCGATTCAAAGACATTAATCTTAAAGCAGAGAAATCTCAGCGTGGTTCAATTTTGTTCTGTATACCGAGTTTCCAAAGCAGAGCGATTCTCTGGATTATAAAAAATTTGACTCGTATTGTGAATTTTGCTATTGCTAAAATTTGGCTTAAAGACTCCGTGGAAACTGATTAAGAATATGAACATTTTTAAGGTTTAGAAACCTATCACTCTAGTTTAAAAAAAGTTTGCTAAATAAATTCCGTTTAACATTTTACTTCACGAAAAAAGGTCTTAAAAATACAGAACTATTTTTGTGTGGTGCACTTTGGCTCAAACAGAACCAGGTACAATTAAAAACAGCTTTAAGGAAAACAAACTCTGGAGCTGCTATCAACTACAGATTTCGCTGTTGGTATTGCCAATTTAAGCGGGAATTTAATTGGAATTTGCAATGAATATTTGAACAAACGTACACAGACCGGAGTGTGGTAAGCGAGCAGTGGTAATGGGATCGCAACGGGAGGACGGGATAGGCTGCATAAAATGAACACAAGTGTTGAGCAAAGTGAATGCGTAATGCGTTTTTGCACCCAGAACAGGACAGGATGGTCAAAAAACAGAAAAAAAAAGGAAAAACAGTCGGACGCTGTCAGTCATCCCGGTCTGTTATTTTCAATCCCACGGCAACCCGTTGAGTTGTTTCCCATGTAACATGCGGTTTTCCTTTGATATCCTAACAGAAAAAAAATGAACTTGTCAGGAGAAGTTTTGCGGTTCTACAGACATAATATGCTTGTGTGGGGAATGTTAAACTAATATGATGTTTTCTAATTATGCAGCTGTCGCTACAATAAACCAATGATAACAGCTTGTTGTCCCTTTGTTTTAATAAATTATTATTAAATTATATTAATCACCATGAAGATCAATATACGAGTGCAGTTGTATCTTAATTCATTTTCAGTCAAAAGTACCAGAAAATAAATACAATTTTAGGTATTATATATAAGGGTACACAATATCCAACCCTTTTGCTTAAGTAAGTTGTAGAGAAAGTCTTTAATAATGGATTGCTTATAGACATCCTTTAATTCAGGAAGGAACTATTGAAGGCAAGCTCAATAGGCATCGGAAATCGTACACCCCTCCCCGAAAACGAATCTTTTCCCTGCTGTTGACCTGTTTTGGATCGAAAGCCAGTTGCAGTGGGCCTGATTTCTCCCTGCTTTTCCATCGAGCGTGACAACCACGTAGGCCTTCACGCTTCTCCCGCTTCCGCCCTGTGTCACATGTGAAATTGGGCGGCTGACATGTTTGCCGCTGGTTTTTTTCCTTTTCCATTGCTCATGTTAGAGTAGGTAATTTTTTAATGCATTTAAACGGCTGTCAAGTGGCCCACACACGCCACTTCGCTTCTGAAACCTCTCTTTACTGCCCCCTGCCATCCCGATCCCTTCCCTTCCCTTTGTTAGCAGTTTTGCAAAGTGACGCGACGCGCGAGCAGTTGGCCAAAAATATGCAAAAAAGCCCGCGAGCACTTACGACAACCTCCCTCCGAACGGCAGGAGGACTACGAGTATATCAGGTCGCGGGCCTCAACAGCCAAGCGGAATTTAGACATTCAGCCTACAGTTTTGTGTTCGGCTTTCATGCACCGAAAAGTGAAATCAAAATAAAAAAATTATTTCTACAGCGAGTAGGGTAGAGTCGATGGGGAAACGACCATGAGCAATAAAGAGTTGGTTTCTTGATGGCAGGCATGCAGTTTTTCAAACTTTACGAGGCCATGGCTTAAATCTGGTTGGACCCAGGTAAATACAAGCTTTTTTTTAACCAATAAGCTGATTGGCAACATATCGTTTCGGATAATACACATGTTCGCTGGCAGAACATCTAGGATTCGTTGTTAAATCTGGTTTTATTTCCCATTGTTTTGAGCACTCACAATGTTGGCTTGCTTGTCGGAGCAGAGTCAAGTAGAGGACATACAAAATTGAAATAAAGTACAAACATGTTGCCAACTTTTTGCACAGCAGCAGCAACAGCAACAAAAATAACAATAACAATAACAACCACTGTCTGTCATTCAGTCTGTCGGTCTGTGGGATGGTTTAGGCCCATAACAACAGCGGTGGAGGCAGGAAAAAGTTTTAACTGATTACGTTTGCTGTTGATAATGTTGAGTGACATTTGGTTTGCGTATTAACTTAAGTGAGCGACAGCAGCTGTCTCCCCCTTACACTCGACCAACAAATACTATATACGTATGCATGTGGTGGAGTGTTCACCCCTTTGGGGAGCTCGATGCGGATTGCCAGGAGGTTTGTATTTCAATTAAAAATTTAATTTTTTAATGCGACCCGCTGATGTGTAGCTGCATTTCCACTGAATGGCAAGTGCTTTTAGAAATTAATGTTTGCGAAAGAAAACCCGCAGTTATGTGGAGATAAAACCAGTGCGGTTCGACTGGCTTCCTTCTCCATCAACTCTTGTTGGCTGGTCAGGCAACCAACAGAATTCAATTCAGGTAACTCACCATATTTCAACAAGAAAAACACTAAACTGAATGCCTAAGTTTGGGGTGCAAAACTTACCCTTAACCTTAGTCGTGTGTAATTGTATACGTGGGGCCTAGAATCGCTTGGGGTGTATTTTTGTCGCGTTGCCAAATTCAAATATCTTTTAAGTCCTTTTGCCAAGCCAATAAACCAGCACTTAACCGCAATTACCCCCCGTTTTTCGGCAAACAAGAGCGTCGGGCAAAGAGCAG